TTTTAGACGAGCCATGGATATTTACTGAAATGTTTAAATTCTCCATTTTTCTCCTTTAGAATCTATTAAAACATTGAGCTTGTGTTTCTGGCACTGATAGAGTCCTGTCTTTCTTGCAATCTATTAAGCATTCAAAAGCAATCATGGCATATGGTCAAACACAAGAACATGTGTTTTCAAGATGAAAAGCAAACTCTTACGAAAAATATTATTTCCAGTACTCTTTTAACAGCTGAAGTATGTAGGCTCAAAGAAAAGTTCCATTTAATTGGGCTAAATTCATTTGTGATTAGGCCTTTACAGACATACTTGTAGCTGCAATGATGAATTAGTGCTTATTGAAACACCTCAAATTGTCCCTCCAGGTTATCACCACCAGATATCTTCCCAATATAGTCCAAGTCTTAGCTAATGAGGAAAGTTGCTCTCAGAATTTAAACTTCTACCTTACCTCCATAAACAAACAAACTGGTACATTCTCATGTATTCCACTCCGTATCCTTCTAAAAGCCACCACCCTTTTTCTCTCAATTCTATTTCCAACATCCCATTTCTCCACGAGATGCCAGTCTGAATATAAGTCACTGTCTCTCTGCCATATGTGCTTTGAGGAAGAATTTCAGGATATTCAGCAAAACTACATGCACATCAGGAAACTCAGCCTCATTATCATTTTAATAGGAAGTTATTATCACTATTAATTAAAACCTTTTGTCATCAAGTCAATTCTGACTCATAGAGATCCTATAGGACAGAGTGGAACTGCCCCATCGGATTTCCTGTAAATCCTTAAGGTAGAAGATTTCCAATATCTTTTTTCTGAGGAGTGGCTAGTGGATTCAAACCGTTGACCTTTTGGTTAGCAGCCAAGAGCTTTAACCCCTGTACCACACAGCTCCATTATCACTATACATACAGAACATAAACCAAAAACCCAAACCCGTTGCCATCAAGTCAATCCCAACTCATAGTGACCCTAGAGGACAGACTAGAACTGCCCATAGTGTTTCCAAGGAGGCTGGTAGATTCAAACTGCAGATCTTTTGGTTAATAGCTGAGCTCTTAACCACTATGACACCAGGGCCTCACACAGAGAACATACTAAGTGGAAAGGAAAGAACTGAAGTTTTCCAAAGAAGTTTGTTTGATTTTACGTTTGTTTTATTTATTTCTGCAAATTGATTGAAGTACCT